ACCACACATTTTCTCATCGATCTCAGCTTCCATGAAATACAAAGGTGTTAGATAACAGCATGAACTGCGTAGTGGTGATGCGAGGGCCATGTGTGGATGATCTCTTTCCCAGATATGAATAACTAGCCTGTGGATAATACAGCGTAACGTGATAGCTGAAGGTATCATTATGAATACGAGGCTCTATAGGTGGTGACCGCCTTAAAGCTGTCGCCATGATAACGGTAGTCGTTGTCAGCCACCTCGACTACTTATCGTACCTGCTGGGTCCGTGTCTTCGAACGACGCTGGGACCTCACCTATGCGCGGTAGACCAGTCCAATGACAAGCGATGGCCCCTCATACTCGTATGTCTACTCGTTTTCACCCATCGCGAATAATTGTTGTAACTGCTAGGCCGTCGTCTATGTGAAACGCTGATTGTGAGAGCGCACCTATACACAGTAACAATCCAATGGCTGATGACGGTCTTTCCTACCATTAACTGTACGCGATGCCGCTTACCTTTGCTACCCATGGTGAACACCAGGCCAGTTTGCATGCGGGCCGGTAAAAATAAGGCCTCAAACATACGTGAGAGCCTAATCTGACGGGCTTTTATACTCATGGCTGTACTCGATATCGCTTTACTTGGCTATTTATCGTACCTGCTAGGTACGTGCCCGCGGGTGGTGTTGAGTAACTGGTAACCTAATCCATCCTCATACTCCTGACTGTACGCGACTTCGCCAGTCTAGGTTACTTTTTGGAACTTCTAGGCCAGTGCTTGTATGCGACGCTGATTATTAAGCCTCAACTAGGGGCGGTGTCCTAATCTAACTGCCAAAGATGTCCTGTCATACCGATAACTGTGTGCGCTCCCGCTTCTCTGCTACCTACAGTAAACACAATGTCAGCATCTATGCGAGCCGATAAAAATGAAGCCCCAGATATGCGTGATATCCTAATCTCATGGCCAACGACAGCCCGTCATATTCGTAACTGTAATTTATATCGCCTACCCTGGCGACTCATCGTAATTGCTAGGCCTGTGTCTATATGCAACGCTGAGCCAGTAAGATGGCCAAACGTGATGCGAACCAACCGTCAGAAATAATGATGATGATCTAGCCGAGACCGCAAGGACACATTCTTCAGTAGCATTCCCCGTTGCACAACCGAAAAATCGCTGTCTAAATGTTACCCTACGGATTTTTACTGACACCGACGAACGCAAGCTCTGGTTCTGAGACAACCGTTGTGAAACACATGGAAACGGCTAGCTTCCGCTTCTCAAACAGGCCAGGTCTCACAGCCATACAACGGAACAGCCCGTGCTGCTGCCTAATACACACGTTACCTGATATTCACGGATATGTCGCCTTTACGCCATAGGTGTTTGAAATTAGCAAACGTGAGCCGAGTATTGCAGGTTCGCGCATTGACCTCACCTGTCACACCACAATCAAAACTAATACAACTTGGAATGCATATAAAACGCCGCACCATATCACCTCCACAATGGGATCGGAAAAACACCTGCCATCTTATATAGCCTTTGTTCTACCTCTGAGGGTTTCCTCGACCAGCCAAAATAACCCCCTCCACACAGAACTGTATATCTCAGCCCAGTCACCTCAAAAATGAATTCCGTTGCGCAGCTGTCCAGAAACCGGAATATTTCAGTGCAACGATAGCATGGCACTGCTATACCCAGTTTAACAGCGCACCCGCAACTATGCCCTTCCTTCTCTTGACTGCACCATACCGCCCACCTGTTCCATTACATGCAACTACGGACAACCTTAAGCTACATTGACTGTAATCTTACGACCATGCATGAGGGTACGCCACTCACCTGTTGGAATGAATATCGTTATGATACCACCACACTTTGTGGGTACAAAGTGCACACCAAAGGACAACATCGTTATGATCATCATTGACAAAAGAACAAAATATGCCAAGAGACTCACCAAACGCACGTGATATGACGCTGCAGACGCAATTAGTTTCAAAAAGCTCCGCACTGTTTTAGGCTGCAACAGCTCCATTCTGAGATCAACTCATTGTACAAGCAAGCAACAACACCAGATATCCCTGATCTAATATCTCTGCAAGCTCTGAGCTACCTTAGTTCCGGACGCTCTAGCTAATCCAGGTCCCTCATAATCACATATGCCAACTCCAGTCCGCATCGACCGCATAACTGAATACCGATTACCACTTTCGAACAAACGTGGTGTCGTATCAATAAAGCAGCCAGGAATTGTGACTTTTGATTGCTATTTCATGCGGCATTCTGGCTCACATCAAAGTGCTTTCTAGCAGACCTTTTGAACTTTTTCTTATCCTGAGTCCCCAATATAGACACGGCTGTCTTATTACCTCGCTTAAATGCCGGAAATTAATCAAGGTGAACTCTCGATGGACCCAAGAATATCCCAGATACAATGAAAACCTTAAATGGCCCATACAAGCTGTTCAGGTACGGGGTTGTCCACAGACCCAAGTACAGCGTAGCGATAACGGTACCGCGACTACCATACCCAGTTTGATGGCTTGTCTGTAGTTCACTATAGCCCTGAAACTTCCCAGACGAGCGTGTTACCTACAAGACCATTTAGTTTATACAAGGACTTAAAAGCGGTGGCCATCTTATTGTGCTGTCTGCTTGTCCCGCCCACAAACCCAACAGTTCACCCGATGACACGGTATATCGGGGGAGCTCAAAATTTCCCTTAGGCCAGATATCACGTATGCTGACCATTATAAAAAAACAAAAACCTACCACCTGTGACGAATTCCCTGGCTCCGGTGAGACGCTTGCAGCAGCCATAGAATTTTCCATACCCTGGTCGCGAATGCCCGCGACATAATAGGCGACTAAGTCGTTTTGAGATCATTTCCAAATCTGCTGTGTAAGAAAACATGCAAAGAACCGAGCATGTCTACGAAACCTCCCACCGTTTTTACACAGACAATGCTTCAAGCCACCGGAAGCCAATAAAATGTGAATTTCGTGCGCACGGTGGATTCCCAGTTTGTTTAAACAACTTGTAATAAACCTGCGCCCTCGTGGGGAGATCTTAAGGGCCAGAATAATTACCGTCAAACGCTAAAACATTTTGTTAGTTTGTCCTTTTTCGCGCCACCGTTTCAGAGAAATTTTGGGTGTGTGTCTAGGACGCGGCACTGACTGACGCAAGGAGGAAACAGCCTTTGGATCTTAGAGTAAACATCTTTGAACAACATTTTTTTCATCGCCGGTAAAATGAGCGCGGAGTAACTTTCCCTCTTTTGCTATCCACGCTATATCCCGGACCCAATGAAAACTTTTTTGGACGGATTCTAAGTCCTCACGCTGGCAACCGTGCTGCGACAATGAGAAGTTAAGCAGCAGTGCTACACTATATGTTTGTTTTTACCCCTGAGCGACAAGAACAAACTCGATCCGCGAAGCGCGGGCAACCCTAGAAACTGTGTACCAATAGGTGGGTTCGTTCGTTGCCTTCATCCCAGACATTGTACCTTGGGTGATGGAGCTCAACGGTTCTACCTTAACCTAGCTAAACGCATTTGAGCAGACCCGACACTACTACCATTACTGTAACGGTGATACTGCTGATGGGAAGGCATGCGTGTATTATGGTTCCTTCTTCACTTTGCGTCCCTTGGAAAAGGGATATCTATTGCGGAATTTGTGGAGCCGCTCCGTAGCATTGCTTGGATTTGAGCAACAGTCAATGAATAACCAGGAAAAATCAGGAAGAAGAGTTCAAGAGAAGACGGATGTGCATATATTGTAAAAAGGATTTAATGAACCAGGTGCTTCCCTGTCCAATAGTCTGTAACTGGTCACGGATTCACGGATTCACGGATTGATACGCAGGATCTAGGCTTTTGCCCATGTTTTTCGGGTCGGCTTTGTTCTTGTCGGTCAGTGGCTGTCGTTCACCTGAAGGGCATAAGTAAAATGAGGATGTAGCACTGCTCTTTATGTTCTCAGCGCGTGGCAGTATGCTTGCCAGCGCGAGGATTCACATAAACACATGTCTAATAGTGCTTTAAACTGGGTTCCAGAAGGAGCGTGGGCAACCGTCGGAGGAAGGTCATTCCACGCAGCTACTACCCGAAATGAGAATATGTGCGCTCTGAGCTTGAAAATTTTCTTACTATGTCCCCGCCATGTGTTTGTTGGGTCAACGGTAAAAAACCTGTTTGTCAAGCTTTGTTCAAACAGGGAATAAGTAAGAATTAGGTCCCCTCGGAGACAACGGTACTCTAGGGGAAAGAGATCAAGCATCGCGAGACGCGTTTCGTAGTCCACGGATTTGAGGCCGGCAACCAGGCTCGTTGCGGCTCGCTGGACACGCTGGTCAGCTGGCAGTTTTTTAAATAAATAGCTCCTCAGCGAAGGCCTTCTTCGTTCTATTTGGCGCCATGACCTGGATAAAGATGAATATCCCGTGGCCACAACCCTTCGGAGATGGAGATGTTCGGACCTTCCTGGAGGACTTTGAAGAGGTTGCGGAGGCTGCCGGACTGGAGACCGACCGGGGTAAGTTTGCGGCGCTGAGGCTGGAGGACTCCCAGGCGGAGTGAGGCTGACTATGGCACCAGCGATTGGGATTCCAGGATCCAAAAATACGCCACCCTCATCGTCGTCTTCCTCATCACCAGCGCTGCGGTAGCCACCGGTTTGGCTTCCTGCCAATGTCACAGCACAAGGTCCACACTGCGCCTACTGGTGGAGAGCCTTTGAAGATGCCATTGAGATGTAAGCGAACCGAGATCCTCCTCAGCAGATGCGGCACGGTCATCTACTAACTCTACTTGGTCGGTGCCACAACCACCAAACTTTGGTTTCTCTCTTCGTACCCACTGACGTAATTAACCAATCACTTTGCTCCATTCCTTATGTCGGTTCGCTTGGTCGGTGCCACAACCACCAAACTTTGGTTTCTCTCTTCGTACCCACTGAACGTAATTAACCAATCACTTTGCTCCATTCCTTATATATGTCGGTTCGGGATCCATTGGTGTCTCTGCGTCAGTACCATAACGTTGCTCGGATGGTGCGACCAGGTTTACCGATTTTGTTGGTGTTACTGTTGACAGTTGGGGTGCTCTCGGGAGACCCATCTTGCGGCCTTCACTGTACAGAATCTTGTTGTGAAATATCCAAAGGAGATTTCCAGTGCTGTCCTTTCGTTAATGTAAGTTATAGTTAGGTTTCGACGAAGGATGTACACAGGGTGTTTGTTGTACAGATGGAAGATCTTGCTGCCCTCAAGGGAGCACGTGTGATCCTGATGGCTTATCATGTTCCTTCCAAACTGGTGCACGTGTATCAAGGAAGAATTTAATGAGGAAGGTATGCTTTACTATTTTTGTTTACTCCTTGCCCGTTCGACTACGCAACATTTCTGTCGCATCTAGCAGGCTCCATTCTTAATTGTTGCACTAGTTTATCATGACTTCTACGATGTCTGATAAGATTGCCCAGTTCTTACACGCGATTCCGCAGCTTTGGAAATCAAAACCTGGACCCATGTAGACGAGGTTGTTTATTGGGTTTGAGTGGCGGGGCTAAAGCAGCGTACGATGATGATCTTTCAGCTGCAACACTTACGGTGCACCCACAGGGAGCACGAGGGCTTTTGTACTGCAAGGTTGCCCAAACCTAGACAGGGGAAGTCGAGAGGCGGAGGTCGGGTTCGAACAACGGACCTTCCGGTCAGTAAATTCGCGCTCTAACCACTGAGCCAAGTCAACTGAGTCGCATGTAAACGAAAGTAATACATAAAAACGAAGCACCTTATAAGGATGTTAAAATAACGATTGGATAAACGCACATAACGCAAGGATTTAGCAGTCAACTTTGATGAAAAGGACAATACACAAGGCTCCGTTCATCAAAGATTGAAGTAACTGCACCACCTTTGTCACATGGGCGGCAACAAAAATATCCACATTCTCTTACCTTTATATTTCCAAACATACTGTAGCTAGTTGCACTCATTCACTTCAGGAGAGGACGAAGAAAAAGTTCATCCTGCTAATAAAATGAGGTGTTAATCAAAACTGCCGCATTGAACAACCTCACAAAAGGTCTGAACTCGAACTGAGTTCAGGAGATTGAGTAGCTCCGAGCACACTTTAGAGTTGGTGGTTGCGTCTTAGCCAGCGAGGTTAGCCACTTGGTCGAAATATGTGCACCTGCGAAATGCAAAGCCGTTTCAGAACGTGCATCCTTTGAGCATACCCACTGAAACTCAAGGGAGCACTGGAGGTTGTGGAGAATCCTACGGCTCGCAGTAGTTGTGTTAGCTCTAACGGAAGTTCGTCTGATGTAGTCAGTGCACGAATCGCAGAGGACAATCATGTGCGCTGATTTGCCGTGTGGTACCCTTTGGACACGGTGGATTGTGAAGATGTGATCCACATAGGCCCTTCCAGGCGGGAATTTCACTTGCTGTTTCCGGCCTGTCTTTACACGCCCTCTTAAGAGGACGTAACTTAAGCAACGAAATAGTCGCTTATATCAAGCTAATTCCTTTGTGACTCATGCTCACTTCGCACACCCTTTTTGAAAATGGATACAACTGTCGATTCACTCCACTTGTCGGGACAGTCTCTTTGGTGGCAACTAAGTTAGGAAATCGTCAGTTGTGTAAATTGCTTTCATCTTTGCACAGAACAGTGAGAGTTCGTCCCGGAGCAGCAGCTCGGTGACGCTTGAGGGACAAAAGGTATTCGCTTATCTCCAAAGCCGTCAGGGGTACCAGGCTCACTGTCCAGGGCTGTATTGTGCTTGGGAATCCAGCCGGGTTAATTCATATGGCCAGTTGAATTGTTCCTGGGGATGCTCAACCCGACGACTCACGTGCTCTTCATTTTTGGGGATAAGCAATCCATTTTTATCGATCATTGTATTGCTCGCCAGAGCCCTCTGTGGGCCTGTGGCACGTTTCACCTGAAACAGTTTACGTGCAATTCCAGAGCTTTCTACCTCCTTTATCTCTCCAACTTTCTGGACCTGCCGAGCCTGTCGGTCCGCGCAGATGCTATTTCTCGCCCGAATTCTGACAGTTGTTTAGGTGGCCGAAGTGGTTAGAGCGCGAGTTTACCGATCGGGAAGTCCGTGGTTCGAACTCGACTTCCCTTGTCCAGGCTTGGGCAACCTGGCAGTATCCCAGCCCCCGTGCAACCTTCGGGTGGCATGGCAGTCAGGCACCGAAAGAGTGCTACAGCTGAACGATTGTACTCAATCAGGAGGAATACTTGTCTGAGCTTCGGGAAGTTTTAGTATTGCCGCCTAACTATCTCCATCGTGGAGATAGTTGTTCGAGCTATTCCCCATATCCTCATAGCTCTCCTGACATCCTCTGGACATAGAGCCGCACGGAGGGAAACAACCTCTACCTTAGTTAAACATGACAGACATAAAGACCATTTTCATCCATGGAGTTTCTGAGCCAAAAACCAAACGACTGTCAGTTGTGTACATAATTGTACTTAATGGAATAATAATAATGTTGAAATAATCTTTCAGCTGCAACACCATTTCGGTGCCCAGCTGCCATGTCACTCGAATGAAGTATGAAGGCGGAGATACTATTAGGTTGCTCAAGCCTAGACAGGGCCAGGTAAGGTGCTAAGGTTAGGTTCCAACCACGGACCTTGCCGTCAATAAGCTCGTGTCTTAACCAGTGACCTATTTCAACCTCATTCCGAGCTCGAAAACCTACGGTTACACCTTTGCGTGATGCGTGGACCCACGGAAACCAGTGACATCTTTCACAGCATTCAGAAAGGAGCTCGAGATGGTTCAATGGTTATAGCGCGACCTTACCGGAAGATTCGCGTTTCGAACTCAACCTCTGCATCTCGACTGCTTCTGTCTAGATTGGGCAACCTGGCAGTAGCAGCATTTGTGCTTCTTTTTAGAAGTATGGTAGCTAGGCGCTAGAAGGGTGTTGCAGCTGACCAATTATTTTATTGTTTTTATTCAGGAAAGCCCCTGCTAGGTATCTGCTGTGCATTTCGTCACTTGGGTGTTCGAGCCAACACCTTCCGGTCCACATCCTCGAGGTCAGCTAATCCTAAATGGTAATTCCAGTGCAGTGGATTCACGGGATGGGGCTGACGCAGGAAGCTCGCCTTTGCCCTCACCAACCTCGACGCGTTCGTGAATATAATCTGCGCCCTCTGTTCCCTTACTTCTGGCCTTGTAAGAGTTTACAAGGAACTGTTCAGAAGTCTTCGTAGTAGTGGGCTTCTGCAGGGCTGCGCTCTCCATTTCTGTTCATTTTTTCGTCGATATCATCATGGAATGTGCAATTCAAGGAACCAAGGGCACTGATAATGCATCGTCATCATCATCATCGTCATCATCATCGTCATCATCGACAGCATGACATCAGTGTTCAACACCGATGCTTTACTGATAATGAACTTCCATCTAAGGAAAGACCAGCAGGTTTGCCTCACGTGGACGGTATTGTTTTGTCACCTGGTGACCATCAGCCTGCACATTCTCTTCTAAATGAAATTTCGGATATGATCTCTTACATTGTGCAAGAATTTTGAGCCCCCTGTGTCCTTAAACTATCATCATCATCATCATCATCATCATCATCATCATCGTCATCATCATCGTCATCATCGACAGCATGACATCAGTGTTCAACACCGATGCTTTACTGATAATGAACTTCCATCTAAGGAAAGACCAGCAGGTTTGCCTCATGTGGACGGTATTGTTTTGTCACCTGGTGACCATCAGCCTGCACATTCTCTTCTAAATGAAATTTCGGATATGATCTCTTACATTGTGCAAGAATTTTGAGCCCCCTGTGTCCTTAAACTTCAGAAAAAGAAAACTGTTTTATGACTGGTTCGCTTATCTGCACGGCTGCATAAGCTAGAGTTTCGTGACAGGAATCGGTGCACGCATTACTAAGACATTTTTGAGCTTGACTCGGTTTTGACGTCAGTCAAGCTTAAGGGTTGTGCGTACATGGCAACCGTAATAAAGGCCTTAATTGATAGTTGTGAAACTTGGCCCTTCTGATCCAAAAACCTAAAACACTCTACTGTTGCAGCTGGAGTCAGCTAGCCCCAACTTCTCGATGAAATGGTATGTAAGTGAGTTCGGGGTCATGAATCAGAATCACCAGAGCAGTAAGTTAAAGTAGTCGTGACGCGTGCCACATGTTCTACTGCCGTCTAATAAAAAGGATCAGCCACCAAAACAGTTCCTTATTATGTACTTCGAACTTCTGTTGGTGAAAGGCTCGCGGGAAAGATGTCATAACTTGGCAACGCGAAACGAGGGCGGTTACTTCGAAACCGAGTAGGATCTTCGGGCCTTCCTGCTTAGGGCGACGATCCCCACTTCCTATTAGGACCACCTAGCAAACTTTTATTTATCCTCGCAGGATGGGCTTATGTTGAGTGAGGTTCGCAAAGTACGTTGGTTGAATCTCACTTATGGTGCGATGTTCAAATGCGTGTATCTCCTTTCTGATCCCAGATGTAGGTGCTTTGTTCGCAATCGTTTGCCATAGGACCATACGTTTTCTTTCCCTCCCTTTCCGTTCATCATTAGAACATTCTTTTTATCAATTATTTGGCAGTTCAACACTGATTCACTAACTGTATCCGGCTGTGTATGTTGACGATGAACCTGGACGTCGAAAATGACCGGAAAGTCCGTGGTTCGAACCCGACCTCTGACTCTCGACTTCCGCTGTCTAGGCTTAGGCAACCTGGCAGTATCCCAGCCCTCGTGCAACCTTCTGGTGGCACGGCAGCTAGGCACCGAAAGGGTGCTACAGCTGAACAATTCGCGTAGATTCCTCTCGGCCGTTGTGACACGCGACAGTTTCTCTGAACAGAGCACATCAAGTTGACGCGTTATGATCCTAATGGCAGTTTTTTTTACTTGAAATGTGAAAAGTATTTGCTGTACAATCCTGTTTGCTTTTGAGATCTTACTGGTTCTTTTCGTTTGCTACTTAGGATGACGGTTTTGGTCAGTTAGACCTCAACAAGCCTGATGTAGGCACACCGACTTTGTGTCCCGATAAAAAGTATACTTGCCCAAATAATTCCACGTGTTGCTCTTTGGACAATGGATCTTGGGGATGCTGTGACCTTCCAAATGTAAGTTTCTGTCAGAGGTTTGCTTCATTCTTTGCCTGTATGTCTCGGATGTTGTTTTTTGGGATAAATGCAAACTTGAGCCCCATTTTCCAAGTTTTCAAGTCTTCCAAATCTTCATGTGTTTTACTATAGGACTGTGAAGTTAGAGCCCAGGACATGATTCTATGTAACAAACACTCAGAAAAAGTTCATCTCAAGGTACGGTTGGTACATCTTCATCAGACTGATTCAAACCCATCGTATTCGTCTGGCTTCCTGAGCAAAATCCCTTCCAGGGGACAAGTATTCAACCAACAGTCGCTGAAGTGATGCAATTTCCTGAAATATATATATATATATATGTATATACTCCAAAGGTGGCTTAAAACTATGCAGATTACTCACGGGCTGTCCTCAAGTCAACCGGAAGACCGAACCCAAAGGGTCACTTCGTTTGGAATTTTTTAGAAAGGAGGGTTTGCTTCTGTATATATTCATCCATTGAAGACTTACAATATATCAGCAAAGCAAGAGAGTTGTTTAATACGCGACAATATTTCTGTTTAGTAAGGCACCGCTTAGTACAAATGCTAAATGCGATCAAACGTAATAACAGTGACTCACGGCAAGACAAACGTGGGGGTAGGAAATTCTGTATGTTATTCGAGACAAAGGTAGTCTAACACTGATAGTTGTGGGAGTTATGGCTATTTTCAGACGAGAGACTAGCAGTGAATCAGTTCAGCTGGGTGACTTGGACAAATCTCTTCTGTCCAAAAAGTTCGGACATGTGGAGTCGAATGGCAGTTACCTGATTGCGCGATATGATTTTTTTAGCATCTGGCACACGATTCGATATCCGGTGTCCCGATCAAAGATTAGCCTCGTGTTGATTAAATGGACCGGAGCAGAGTCCGTATTTTGCATGTACCCATTTATTTCCAGCGTTTTCTAGTTCACAGAGACCCACATCACTGGCACCCCATGCACACGTGGATACATTAACAACCATCGATGATGTCAGCACTGACAGTTTGTTTCCATTTTGTGGACATAGAAGAGGTGAACTTGAGATGAAGCACCGAAATTTAGCCGGGTTGAACGTGGATCTTACCGCTTCGGAGTGACGTCCTTTATAGAGTTTCTAGTAGCATCCATTCGCGTTCCGTTGCGCCATCTGAACATATTTTTGGTACACTTGAAGCCAAACAGCGGACGAGGTTTCTTCTGAGCTCGAGATAGCTCAATGGTTGAGGCGCGAACCTACTGACAATACAAAAGATGTCTACCTATCTATGCTACGAATTTCATCCATCGTTCTCATGTTTATCCGTGCAGACGTCAGCCAGTAATGGTCCTGTTCTTTTGGGGATAATTCGTCATTTAAACTTATCTGTTGGTACGTCTAACGCTACGTTTGCAGCTACAATACGTGTGCATAGGTAGGTAGCAGTTTCCAGCGGAGCTACCTTTGTGAATAAGGAGACTGTTGTGAGCGAAAGGATGATTCTGTGGTTGAAATCACTCTGCCTTATAAGGTCCACAAATTCAAATGTGTCATACAGGTAGTAGTGAACTGTTTTTTTCTCGGATAGGCCGGTAAACTGCAGCGCTTTTGGGAGACATAGCAAATTCAACCGCAACTATGGAAATCCACCGGGAAAGAATATAACCAGACAATTGTCCACTTCTCTGCATCAATCATGGGTGTATTAGGTTGATACCATTTTTCACCGTGTTGTTTGCAGTTCGTCCTGCTGGTTTTTAACCACAAATGAATTCATCTTCATCCGTATCAGGGATCAATGTATTTTCCAGTGAATTGGTTGTCATCGCAAGCTGATGGATAATTGTACTCTCCAACTGTAGGCGCCACAAATGTCACACCAGCAGAGCAGCGGTGTGTCTTCAAACTATAATTTCTCCCCCAAATTAGAGGCCTCTGAAAGAGTATGAGAAAGGGGGAGTGCTATTGGATTGCTACAGAACACCCCCCTTCTGTTTCAGCTGATTAGCGCAACTGGCCAAAAAGGACGATTAACAGCGAAACAGTTTGCGGGAAAGATGAAATACCAATGCATCCCCGTGACCGAATATATCAAAGAAAGATTCCACCAAGTTTCCTCTACACAAGCCCTGCAGTTTGTGTATGTGCAGTTCACGGTTGTACGTGGGCTGCGATACTGCCAGGGCGCCCACACCTAGACAGGAGGACGATTAGGGTCATCAACCAAAGCCCTTGGCTCAAAAGCCTAACCGCAAGGCAGCGGTGTTCGCCTGGAAATGCAAGTACATTACCATTTTTTTACGGAACACGTCGCCATACATGTTCGGCAGTGAAGCATCAGTGGCAACACTGATGTTGTTGTCTTTGGTGATGATGACACAAGCTCTGAAAGAACCAGTGGACATGTATGGACCTCTAATTATGGATTCAGTATGCGGAATATCACACTTAGCTGACCTCAATCAAAGCGTTTATTCGTTGCACGAAGCACTGCACAAACTTGGTCGTTCGGAAGATTGTTTACGATTTCTATCACGTACGGAGTCACGTGCTGTTGGCACATGTTTGACTTTCCAGCTTCCGTTCTTCCACCGATCGAATCAGATCAGACTTAGATTCCGAGATTAAAATATCCCCGATTCCATTCTAATTTTTGAATTCAGCGAGTATTGTGGTTCACCCGGCTCTTCTACGGATGTAGTCGACTAGTTGTTTGGGGGGTTGGCACAGGTTCCACGTGGAAAGAAAGAAACAAGGGACTTGCCACTTGTAGCACTTTCCTGTATCCCATGATTTGTCTCGTAAGTGTTTATGTCATCTTTCACCCTCTGGTGCTCTTCACTCTTCCAGGCTGTGTGCTGCGGTGACGGACTCCATTGTTGTCCACACGGAACCGAGTGTAACGCACAAAAAGGAGAATGTGATCCGGTCGAACAAGTTCCTCTCACAAATGAAGTTGATCCGTCCTTGCCCCTTGTATTCATGAGCAGACTGGGAATTTCTCGTACTGAGTCTGATCGCGTGGACCAGCACACATCTGTGAATGACACGGCACAGCGCTCGTGGGACGCTGTGACTAGTTCGTGGGTTCAGTGTGCAGATGAATTGCATCAGTGTCCTGATGGAACGACTTGTTGTCTCGACCTATTCGACCAGTATGCCTGCTGTCCATTTCCGAGGGTAGGATGATCAGGCTCATCTACCATCACCATATATTCGTGTAATATTAATTCCACTTATTTTTTCAGGTCAGAGTGGCACTAATTTTTCTTAGCGGTATGGATTATCTACCTCACACATTTAGATCACTCAATGTGGTTTTTAAATCAACGGAGTCAGATCCAAAGAAAGCTGTTTCCTCTGTTTAGTTGGTGTCTGTCAACGGATGCCCTCTAAGGAAACAAGGAAGCTTCCTGTGGACACCAATTATGGAATCAAAGTTAATGTAGAATAGAAGACCCCCTTGCCTGAAATCAGTGGGTTTGGGAAACCCAGGCGAGAGGTTGCCGTAGATCCTCACGGATCCACGGGAGTCAGTGTACAGCGCCTTTGGAAAACCGTTTTTCACGGAGAGCCCCCTTGCTTGATAGACGTTGTTATTGTGTTTGACAACTAGCAGAGTCGAGGCGCACGTATGTGATGTCAGGTTGGTTCTCAGATTTTCGGAAACCAGGCTGATCAACCAGAACAACTGAAGTACCGAAGGAAAGGACTCACCAAGAATGCCTTTGCAATGATACCCGAAGCTCCAAACAGGTTGAAAATCTCCGCTGGAAGCGAGCAGATTTTCAAACGCCCAAAGTCTTTGCCACACAAGCCCGGTGATATCTTAACCTGATAGCAAATTATTACGGATAATATCTTTTTTTTTACCTACGACTGTCCGAACGGACGCTTCAACCATAAAACAAAGCTTGCTGAGTTGCTTCCCAAGTTATGTCACAGGTGAAGTTAACCTATTTGATCGCTATGTGTTGCCAAAACTATAGAAACTACTGGGAATGATATTATTAAGCCGGAAGCTGCATGCTGCCGGCATACTTTGTATACAATGAAGATAGGGTAGTTTTGATTGAAGCACCAATGGCTGTACAGTTGTTCGATTTACCGATAACACGTGATGGTCCCACATCAACGATTGGGTTTTCGCTACAATTTATGGTGTGCCAGCTGTGACTAACGAGTGACAAGTTCGAACGATTTTCAGATTGGAGTGCACTAATAAATCGTAAATCTGGTGCATTCTACCAATGTTTTTCATATGTGCAGCATCTTCGTCCATTTCCGCTTGATGGGTATATGGTGAACCCAGCTCAGATCGAAGGTTTCGTCACTGCCCAATGCAGTTGATCTAGATAAGACAAATTTCGTGTGTTTTGTTATACTACCTACTGGGAAGACCAATCGTCAGAGTCCTTTTTTACTGACTCTGCTTGGTTTGTATATTCGAGACTCTTCTCCATGTTTGTATGACCCACCAACGCCCATGACTGGTGAATGTGACCATGCGCACAACTCCAGGTCTAAGTCATCGTGAGACGTTTTCAGTCATGTACCTTACATAACTTTATTGATGTTGATTGTTGTTGCTATTGAACAAACCACGTCACACACTGCAGCGACAAGTGCCCGATGAGTTGTGCCACATTGAAGACTGTTCTGTGCAGCACACTCAAATGGCTGGCTCCTATGTTTTCCCTTTCCAATTCCTACTATTTCGACCATTGTCATCTCAATACATTTTCCCCTGTGCAGGCAGTCTGCTGTGCTGACAAAGAACACTGCTGTCCGGAAAGCTACACTTGCGAAACGGAAACAGGACTATGCCGGTCCAGTTCAGCGTCTCAGCGGCTGCAGCCGGTAACCGAACAGGCTAAACCCAATGATCTGACTCTGAATGATGAACAACTTTGTCCAGACGGACATTCCAGATGTCCTTACACTCACACATGCTGCCAACTGGCTGACAAAACCTGGGGATGTTGCCCGCTCTCTGAGGTAAATGGAGAAAATATGCTTTTAGTCCACCGTGTTTGACTTCTGAAACTCTTTTTGCTTTCTCGCTGTTTAGGGTGAAGCATAGCGCTATCCCTCTAGCGAAATGTATCACGTGCTGACCGATCTGTCCAACTGTTTCTGGGAGGGGGCGAGATGGCTCAGTGGTTAGAGCGCGGATTTATTGACCAGAAGGTGCGTGGTTCGAACCGGACCTCTGTCTCTCGAATTCCCCTGTCTAGGCTTAGACATCCTGGCAGTAGCGCAGCCCTCGTGCCTCTTTCGGGTGGCATGGCAGTTAGGCACCGGAAGGGTGCTACAGCTGATCTTTCACTGGATGATGTGTTGTGATAGCGCGTAATGACCTGAATGTTTGGAGCCGTACTCAAAGAATCAAGTGATCCACAGTTCCAACCTAATTGTGCAGCACTGATTAACCCAGCTGGGTAAAACTTCGTGAAAAATTCACTTCAAGGTACGGGGTACCTATTGTGTATGATGTTTGAATAGACGATGGTCTGAAAAACGTCCCCCGATGGACGATTTTACGCTATTTACTTTGAGCTGGCGTCTATTTTCGGGTTATCTAATTACAGTACGGTGCCATAATAATAATTGATAATCGTTCAGTTGTAGCACCCTTTCAGCGCCACCAGAAAGAATCACGAGAGGTGGGGCATTGCCAGGTTGCCCAAGCCCTTAGATAGAGGAAGCCGAGGGGCAGAGCGGGTCGGGTTCGAACCACGGACCTTCCGATCAGTTGATTCGCACTCTAACTCAGTAGATTCGCCACTCAGCCATTTCCCCCCTCTATCATATCTAATACAGTATCATGCAGTGTACTTATTGTGAAACCCAGTACTGGAAGCAGAGACAATTAGGCAAATCAGAGAGCACTCAACATTCCTATGGGTCTTTCTTGGTGGTTTTCCTCCCATCTGAATGCGAGTTGACCACATTGCTTATCAGCTGTTCGTGGTCGAACGCTCGAACTACTAGCCCGAAGGTCGCGAGTTCGAGACTCCCCGGAGTTTAGTGAGATTCGCACTGCTGACGCTTCTAAACAACTGTACAGTGCTTCTCGGCTTTTCAACATAAAATTGGCTTTTCTTACAGGACGAAGTCACTTAGACATTTCCAAATCTCATTCTGTCAACACTCTTATGAGGTTTGGTGGTCATCGTCACCTTTTTGCGTGGCTGTATTTCCCTGGAAGACGGCGAGCGCTGTCTCTTACCAACCACTGACATCCGTAAATAGGTAGGCTCGTATAGACACGTTCGTTTTATTTCAAAACTACTCGTCTGCATGTGAATTTTCACCTGGGTTTCAAACAATGCATGCATACAGAGCAATAGTATGAAGCATGAGAAACATGAGAGAACTACCTTGTTGTGCAGGATTGATGGTGGATATGTGACTGATTGTTAGTTGCCTTGATTTTACAAGAGTCCAGACCGACATCAACGGTGGGGGCGAGATGGTTCAGTGGTTAGAGTGCGAATTTACTGATCGAAAGGTCCGTGGTTGGGACCTGACCTCTGCCTCTCAACTTCCCCTGTCTAGGCGTGGGCAACCTGGCAGTGTCCCAGCCCTCGCGCTTCCTTGAGGTGGCTTGGCAGTTAGGCATCGAAAGCATGTTACAGCTGAACGGTTATCTTTTTCATTTTCTATCCAAACCTAAATCAGAATAGAGTACATGGTAACTTAAAGGACAAAATTGAGTGAATCGAATTCAGGTTTGTGAGGAGGAGACAGTATACACTGTTTAAAAAAACGGAATACAACGCTGATGCAAACGGAACTCTATTATTGTATGATTTCTTAATGCTTTTCAAACGTGGTAACAGTGTTAAAAGGGATCCTATATCGATTATATGCATTGCTTCTGGCATGACTGAGCGTAGGTCGAAAAAGTTTAGCATCAGATGAGGAATGCGGTAGTGGAATTCGGTCATGACCGGTGGAGTTTCGAGAGTGGTTACCCCAAAAGTCATACAACTATTTAGGTGTGTAGAGCTTTTGACTACCTCCAACGTGTTACACACTGTATTCTGCGGGTGGGGGGAAACGTGTCATGTCGATCTGTCCCCGTTGTCACGCTATCCAAAACGCACTTTATTGGGTGGTGGTGTTAGCAGACGAAAGGCTATCATGAATAAACTTGAAGTCGACAATCGTTCTGATAAACCGAACTTGGAGATTGTCATAAGCCTAACCTTCTCGTGCATTGCTGAGTGTCGTTGGTTACGGAATCAAGGAAAAAGGGATTGAGTAATAGTACTGCACGCCACTGGACGCGGTGAGGGAGCGACAAAGCTGACCACAGACCCTGACTTTTCCTATATGGCTATGGGGCTTGGCCTGTTTGAGCAGCGGGACTGAGACGTCTTCAGGTGTTCGACAATCGTTGTCTCAAACCCGTAGCTCGCGTGGGTTGGTGTCGGCGTGTCCGTAATGAGGCGATTAGAAAGCGCATTTTCGGTTGTGTAACGGGTACTTCCATTGAAGAATGTGTCCAGCACCAGAAGCTGCGTTGGTTGGGACATGTGTTACGTATGCCGAAGCATCGTTTGCCGAAGAGAGTGCTGTTTTCCATGCCCAACTCAGAGTTGCGTAAACAGAGAGATGGCCAACCCCTTACTTGGCAGAGGAGTATGAAGGAGATCACGAAACGGTTGGGTGCTGTCTGTGCTACTCGCCTTCCAGGATGGGGACCGCATGATCTACACTGCACCTTGTTGGAGACACTACAGGATAAGGCTACCAACCGATGTCAGTGGCGTTCTTGTTGCCAGTTTCTATCCAGATTGCCTGAGGGAGTGTCTGGAGGTATAGGCACCTCGGAATGATTGAGTCCCTTCCCTGTCCAGCTTTACTCTTTTCTTTACAATAAGGCTTTCAAATAAATCATGGTTGTACGGCAGTGAAGCATCGGTGTTGAACACTGATGTCATGCTGTCGATGGTGATTATGACTTTCTCTGAGGTTTGGTAGTAAATTTAGCTCAGTGTTCTCACCTCTTAGGAGGCAATTCAATTAAATGATGCGATTCGCGGAGTCGAATGCTGCACCAACATCTACAAACACTGTGATGATCAATCTATGATCTATGTTCTCGTTCAGCAAAAGGTTAGAATTTGGCTCTCACAGCTACGGCCTGGCGAAAGCTGTCTTGGAGCAAGTTCCATACGAGCTTGGCTAGAGCCAACCTTGTTACCTATCGTACATGAACTCTTTCCAAAGACGGGAGCATGCATTGGAACGCTGATCAGAGCCGGACTTTCGCAAAAGGCTATTTATTATCAGACTCCTCAGACACAATATCCCGGAAGTTCGATAACGGATTTCCTTACCCTTCGCGTTTGTTCGAAACCGCGGTGCGTGTGTCAGAGACTGCTAGTTATGCAAGGGTAGAGTAGGTCTTCTCAGGGTTTATGTAATAAATAGCTGGTTAGCACTTTGAACTGACTGACTCTGTGAGAAGTCTTAGCTTACACCACTGGTTGTGAGTGATCCTGGCTCAGCTAAGTCTCCTGAATGCTCTTCAAAGGTGACACGTCTGGCTAATAGGCGTGGATTCGACCCAGCGGAGGCTCCGGATAGTAAGTCGCTTGGATCCTCTCTTGGTTTAGGTGGGGTTACTTCTCCGCACTCAGATATTCCGAATAAACATCGACAGCAAGACTGTCACTGGCGACTTTTAAGGACCATATTTTGGGGGCGTTCCTAAACAAATGGGAAAAGGGTCATGCGGAAGAGGGCGTGCTGAAGAATGCACAAAAAGCAAACCACAAGTGTGCAGGCGAAAAAAAACGATGGCATTTGGAACCGGAGTGTTGATTATACGGCCTCTGAGGAGAATCCGGTAAGACGCATATCGATGGATTCCACTCCAACTGAAGTGTACCACATACATCGATAGTACATCGATAAAACTAGGTCGTATTCTTCAACGATGAACCGCTTTAGGTCCACCGATAACCCTTCAAACTTTTCGAAATCAGGTGATAGGACTACAGTGTGAAGGAACGTGTCCGACACAAAATACGAAAAGTTTATAACGTTCCGTAGTAGGTCACGCGTAAACTGATGCAGTACAGATTGGTTCAGGCAGAAATCATGGTCCAGTTCAAATGTCTCACTCCAGACAGGGTTTTTCTGTTTGGGCATAATCTACTCAATACCGAATTCATCACTGTCCTAACTACAGAGGAAATCATTTGTGATCCTTTGTCTGACTCATGGCATGTGGTTTAAGAGCTACCCAAACGGTTCACTTCCAACCATAGTCATTGGCCCCCAATGTACTTCCGTGTATCCCGTATCTTACAGGTCAGGTTGCTAGACCAACAGGTCCTGTTGGGGCCTAGCTCAAACGGGTTTTGTCGTTAAGACAAATCTAAGCTTACCCTAGTTTTGTAGTCAGATTAAAAATGGTCAATCTTGAAGACATATAATCAGTTAGGTGCACACAGCTGAAAATCCTTGAAGACGTAGCTTGCAGAGGTTTTGCCCCACAGAATAAGGTTTTAGAAGGCTTTGTATGTTTACTTCATCTTTTATTTTCCTGATCAGACTGGTGTTGTAGTAGTCCTAGAAGAGGGATGTGTTGTCTGGTGTAACATTCGTGTTCCAGCAAAAACAATCGTTCAGCTGTAGCACCCTTTCGGTGCCTAGCTGTCTTGCCACACGAAGGAGGCACGAGGGCTGGGATACTGCCAGGTTGTCCAAGCCTAAACAGGCCTAAACAGCCTAAACAGGCAGAGATCGGGTTCGAACCACGGACCTTCCGGTCAGTAAATTCAGGCTCTAACCACTTGGTCCATCTCGCCCCTTTTGTGTTCCAGTGGATTATAATGCGACTTCACACATTTCGTCGCTTGCCAGTCATTTTCCCATCATTCTTTCACATGCCACCTATTTTATCTAAGTGCCTCATCTTCGTTGCCCGAGAGTTCGTCGATTGGTGTGTTTGTTGTTTGTTTCTTCCCCAGGCTGTTTGCTGTCCGGACGGTCTCCATTGCTGTCCTTCAGGCTACAAATGCAATATGGAGAAAGAGACTTGCGTGAAAAACGTTGTAGATACTCCGTTACTTCAGCCATCATCTCTTCCCTCTCCTTCTGCCACGAGGATCGCGTGTGGCAACCCTGAATTCCAGTGCGACGATGGAACTACCTGTTGCCCCCTACCGAATGACGAGTGGGCCTGCTGTCCGTTTGCTAATGTAATGAGGTTCATTGTAACTTTGCCATTGTTCGATGTTCGTCCCTATCGTCTAGGGTTCTCATCCTCAAGTAGGGTTGATAACATTTTTCATGGAGCTGCTATTTAGTGATCCTCCCCCTCTGAAGTGACCGGCTTTCTTCGGTTTCGCCCAAGTTATTTAATGACCGTAAGAGTATTGGCTCCCATGTTTTTGATAGCCGCTATGTGTCCATAGGTTTTTTGATGTCTTTATATTGGGACGATAATTGTAGGTGCTATATGGATAAACGTAAAACTTTCTCTATAGCGACGAATCCAACCGAAGGTGGTTGTCTGGCAGAGGTTGGGAGAGGTGTTCTCCTCACTTTGCCGCCAAATGGATGAAAGCTGACTATCTAACTTAACTGGACGCTGCGGTTCAGTGAGAGAGCTTGTTTGACAGTTAATCTGACGCGTCGTAATAGTTATCGGGGTGTGATTACATGCTGTGTGGTAAGGTCATCCGCTAAGCGAAAAACAAACTCATTTACGGGTGGGATAACTCTGCTACTGCCTTTGACCATGAATTCAGTCACCTGTAGGTGATTCAGTTGTGTTCCTCGGGCGTCCGTGATGAAGTGGCGACACGCTCGCTCTGCATGCCTGCGGCTTAAATTTTCGTACTATTGATGGGCCTCAGTAGGGACGAAAAAAATGGACTCAAGTGTTTCTCTTCTTCTGAAACATCCCGATTAACTACGCCCGTATGGGAAGAGAGCTGTTCACAAAAGAAAGATACAAATGGTAACCCGGTTAGGCCAATAGGACTAGACGGGCTCAGAACGGTACTGGTCAACCTATCCGACGGTTTTAGTCATGACATTCAGTGATCAGTAGGCCTCACACTATCTTTTTCAATGGGTTTATTGATTAGCGGTAGGTCTGTCGCTCCCTTCGGGTGGCATGGCAGCTAGGCACCGGAAGGGTGCTACAGCTGAACGCTTTCTTTCTTTCTGTCGCGAACAGATGACATGGCCTGTCGAATTGATTTTCGTACCATTCCCGTCCGCGACTAACCGGACGGACAGTTATTGGTTCGACCCGATACACAGTGATTGGTCCCTGCATGGACGTTTATCTCTACGCCTAAATTGCAGGAAAAACTTCAGGTTATGAAATTTTCCGTGAAACCAACTCTTCCGAAGGAATCTGCCCCTTGACAGCTCCAATAGTTATATGTTTTTAAAGGGACCTATTTATTGTCTTTTCGTTTCCCGAGGATGTGGATCATGTTCTTCATTCTGGATCCGAAGTTCTTATCCTTTTAATTGCGTTCGAGGCCATTCAACCCATCCTCGAGATCGTGCCGTTGACACTGACTACCCTTTCGCCTTTTGGTAGCAATTCACCTGGTTTATAGGTGTAACTACTGTTCCGCTTGTTAGCACCAATAGCTCTATATTAGTACTATCTATATCTATGTATCTAATATCTATCCACCTAGCTATCCACCGTCTGTTCACACGTTTTCTCTGTTTCTCTTTCTGTCTCTGTGTCTATTCGGACAGGCTGTCTGTTGCTCGGATCAAGCACACTGCTGCCCTGAGAACACCACTTGTGATCTGGAGCACAGTCGTTGTGTTCCTAAACCAACCGAAAACCGCCCATCAGCTGCTGATAACTTGATGATCAGCATATCTCAGCCGATGGACCCTAAGGCTGATGAAACTTGTCAGATGGCCTGCCCGACTGGGACCTGTTGCAAGGACTCCTCTGGACTTACTGCCTGTTGTCCCTTCCCGAACGTGAGTTGCGATGACGAGTTCTCAGTGTGACTGCATGAATGACTTCCTGTGACGTGAATGTCATAGCATACCTGAATTCTGGTGGGCCCTCAGTGTAGACGCTAACTCCACGGATAAATGGCACGTGCGAATTCATAGCCTCAATTACAACTTCGGTTTGGCTGTTCTCGAGATAGTGCAGTCTTGGTTCGGGGGACGAGATGACTCAGTGGTTAGAGCGCGAATTTACTGTTCGGAAGGTCCGTGGTTCGAACCCGACCTCTGCCTCTCGACTTTCCCTGTCTAGGTTTGGGCGACCTGACAGTATCCCAACCCTTGTGCTTCCTTCGAGTGGTGCGGCAGATAAGCACCGAAAGGGTGTTACAACTGAACGGTTATCAGCAATCTTGGTTCTGACGCATTAAGGCACTGGTGAATGAACAATTACGTATTAAGTCCAAACATCCCCTAGACTTGATGTTGTCAAGGGTAGTCTTATCGGTGAATTGAGAAGCCGTCTAATGTGGTTTAGTCCGATTTTACGCTGTCGTTTCCCTGAAATTGGCACAGAACACGGGATTTGATGAAGATAGATTTTTGATCTCTCCGCCCCACGCATGATATTTTGTCCGTACCCTGGTATTATCATTGTCATTATTGTTGCTATTAGTTGAACAGGATGTGTTTACTTTGCAATTTCGCAATGAAAGGTTCGCCGCAGTGAACGGTCTTCCGGATATAGTTCAACATGCTACTTTTGCGAACAGCTGGTTGCCTTACATTGGATTTCATCCTCGAATGTAAATGAATCCCCAGCTCTTCAAAGGAAGAGGCATTATAATGACTGATTTATTCAATCACTGTGTTAAGCATGTTTGTAGAAAGTGGCCGCTTGACAGAGGGGATCCCATAGCCCTCTGCTGCTTCATGATGCGTTTCAAGATGAGCCGCATTTTAGACTCCCGTCGTTAGTTTGGGGTCCCAATTTTCCGGCCGCTTCAGTGGTCCCACTAGTGTCCAGCGGGCTCTACACAACATCCATAAAGACTCCTTGCTAATCAGGCATGTACAAATTCAGCACTCAGTATTCGAATATGGGTACACAACAGAGTTGGCTGTGTGAAAGGAGGCATTTATAGTCAATCCGTTTGAAGCACGTATCGATCGGTCAATGTGCAGATTTCACGTTTGGGGTGTGTGTCGATCAGAATGCTCGATGCAGGTGGATATGCACTAAGTAATCGGCATCTGAGAAGCTCAGCATGACAAGAATTTTTGTCTTCATTGGGCCTCGCCAGGTAGTTGTCGGCACTTGATCCTTCCGGTAACTCTTTCTTATGGATGACTTTTTGGCCACGGTTGATGAACTTAACTTGTCAGACCTGATTGAATTCAGCTCCTTGCATGCCAACTCGTTCGCATTTGGATTCTGCGTACGGATTTCACGTTACTGACATTTTCTAATGCCTGTCATCCCCGACACGCCACGGTTCGAACGTCGACAAACATAGTGATTTTGGCCCTTTATATCACCATCTGATACTATGCCGGTCATCTCTCAGCATGTCCAACGTGGGTGATGCAGAGGCTTGGTAATGTACGAAGTCTGACACGTTTTTCGTCAGTGCACCCGGACAACCGAACCAGTAAAAAAATAACCGCAGAATTCGATTATCCTCTACTCGAAAGGGAAGTGAATCAATAGGGGGCGAGATGGCTCAGTGGTTTGAGCGCGAATTCACTAACTGGAACGTCCGTGGTTTGAACCCGATATACCATACCTTCGTCAAAATGCCCCTTACCTTGTTGAGGAAATTCGCACCCGTTAGTGGAAGGGAGCCGCTTATATGAAGCATTCAAAGAAAACAAGGCCACTCACCACGAACTGTCACGTGACTGACGGTTGATACAGACGCATTTGTCCTCGTAGAAAGTTACTAGTCACCAGTACACAACCGTCGTAAAATTCCTCATCCGTTCGTCAAAATAATCATAATGTCGAGGTGCTATCTGGAGTTCATGTCTCACCTCAGAACACTTGTAACATTCTCTCACCATCCCGTTGTCCAATAACATCGTTCTCCTCCTAATCTAGTCTAGGCCGTAAGCGATAGTGGTATCATTCCTGGCACTATGACGGAAGGACTGAGTACTACGATTGGAAAGCCTTTTCGGTCCTTTTTCAACTACACTACCTGTTGTTGAAGTGTACTAGTGCTTTGTGACCGACGCTCTCAGTCATCGGTCACCGAAGTCTACGCAGAACCAATGACACATGTGTTCGAAGCACTTTGAGGTTCCTGATGTCCAGCAGGCAATAGAACAGCTTTTAGCACAACACTGCCAGTTGCCCGTGATCTGCTCCCATGCTATTCGTTCTTCTGCTCTCAGGGTGTTTGCTGCTCAGATGGTTTGCACTGTTGTCCATATGGTACACGATGTGATGGACACACCATGATGTGTTTGCCAGCAGGAACTACCAACAGGCTACCTGAATCCATCCCTTGGTTAGTGAAAACTCCAGCTCGCCAACAGGCATCTACCGTGGATAAGCCAACTGTGTCGAAGGCCAATGTAAGTTTTGCAAAAAAGAGTAAAGCAGCCCATCTAGTCCCTGTCAGTATGTTTCGTGGTCCGGTTGTCGTACATCTCTTCCACATTTGATTGGTCCCTGTCACCACAATAAAATTTACCCGTTTTTTTCGCTTGAGCACCCTCTTTTATATGATGTGTGTCTATTTTTGCCGGTTACTAGCCTTTAGGTGTTCGATTGCCGTGGTCAGACCTAGTTTGGAACTGGATGAAGCTTCTGCGGCAATGATAATCGCGTCAGGTTTGTTGGCGTTTTTGCTTATCTATTTCTTTGTTGTGAATTTCCTCGGATCCAGTGTGCCCGAAAACGATGGACGGTGCGTTTTTTTCATGCACCGATTGTTTTGTATGCAGAGAAGAACTATGGTAGCGCAGATTGATGGTGTCGGTCACATAGCATAGCTTGAAAAGGTCAATTATCGTTCGCGTTGATGATGATTTACACGTGGGGAAGAGGAGCAACCAATTGACTGTTAGAATTCTTAGAGGGACACTGAATACAAGCGACGTTTGTGTAGAGAGCGTTCTAGGGATTTTGTTTCCTTCCCTTCGTTTCTCACTTTATTGAACTCCAGTTGTTCAGGCGCTACTGACCGGAAGGCCTGTGGTTCGGACGCGACTCCTGAATCTCGCCTGCTCCTGTCTAGGCTGGATCAGCCTGGCCGTATGTCGGGTTTCCTGATTCTCGAGGTGGCATGGCAGCAAGACACTGAAAGGGTTCCACAGTTGACCCACTATTTATTATCATGGTTACATTATTTCCCACACCTGAAAGTGTATCCCACTCTGACTGGATCGCGTATTTTCGGTCCATGGAATTGTGACTTGCTGCAATAGTCAGTACTGTGAAGAGTTCATTCACGTCCTCGTGGACATCCCTTTTAGCGTTTTCGTCTACTTTCGGGAGTTCAGCGAAATTTAATCGATGGTCTTGCGAGACGCGTATTGTTATCGGTAATACTAACCTCCGCGTACAGTTTAGCATGGATATGGAGTCCCTTTCAGGTATACTGAGTAGTGGGGAACTAAAGTTTGCCATCAGTCAAGAACTAGCTTCTGCAGGTGCCGTATTAGACCACTTGTGAGTCCAACCTAAAACGGTATGTACCGCTGTTGTCATCAGAACTTGGTTGAATCAAAGCGTGGTGTACGGAAGAGATCGAAGGGACAGTAGCCCATTGTGATGTCAAAACCATATTTCAAGAGGTTGGACAGATGGTGATCCGATCAGGCGATAAGTACTAGTGGTATTGGTTTCAGTAGCAAGAGCGGGTTGAAAATGGGTGTACACGACAAGCATTCCACAAAAAACAGAGGTTGTTCGAACAGCTTTGAATACGTGTAACAGTGAATACGTGTGACAGATGCGTACAGTATTGGCGAAATTGAATGGTCATCTCGCGGTTGAAAAGGCCAAGAACTTCGTGTGTTAAACTAAATGCAGTGACTTGACTAGGGTCTACATAGGGCAGCTGATCAGTGAACTGTACACCAGGACTGTGAACAGAGAAGCACAAACGAACCACCGAGAAGTGTAGGTGTATATCAGGCGGTGGTCAAAACTCGGCAACCTGCGTTAAACACGGTGACGAATGGATGCGATCTTTTTAAGCAGGGGACAACCATTCGCACCTGATGGCAGAGGTGGCAGAAATCCTCAAGCGTCTCAGTGTGTCTAGAATCGAGGGCGTAGAATGGACGATCGCGTGAAGATCGCTTGACACGTGGTGGTGTGCAATCATCTGTCAAGCGAAATTCCTTAGTAGACTGATGAAGATTTAAGGTAGAAAGTCAAACACGAAAACTTCACATCACCTTTTTCCGTCAAGCTATTTAAGAAAAATCGTTCAGGTGCAACACCCTTTCGGTGCCTAGCTGCCATGCCACCCCATGGAATCACGAGGGCTGGGATATTGCCAGGTTGCCCAAGCCTAGACCACGGACCTTCCGGTCAGTAAATTCGCGCTCTAACCACTTAAGCCATGTCGCCCCAAGCTATTTACTCTAGCGCCAATTCACCCATACGTGCCACCGAAAATTTTAAGAGAAAGCCTGTACGTAACTGAAATGAATCGAAGAGTCATACTCCCAAACTTGACCCAAATTCGTGTGAGATATTCCTCCTAGCCTATTACTGCAGCCCCTATTCATCCACACCAAACCGACAAAACGGAAAACTTCTAGCCAAAATCTAACGTCCATTGACTCTGTCGTCATTAAGGTATTTTTCTTGTTGGTTCACCAGTCAACCAACCTTTTGGCCTAATCGTTTGACCTGAGGAGGCTTTTATGTAAGGTTGCTCAGTGTAAGTTTCCGGATTGTCCTCCAGATTTTTCTAAAAAGACTTTTTGAGATTTCATATGTTCACAGTTCATAATCTTTTCATGGCGATGACCTTTGTAGATGACTTTCGGGATTTGAGAGATGTGTGACGTTTTTTTGGAAAACGGCTCGGATACCAAGTTTTTGTACTATTGATGCCATCAGTGAACTCATAAGGGTGCACCAAATTTCGGTCTTGACAATGTAATCGTCGGATTTGTCGCTTATTGGCTGTCTTAGTTCCGTAACACAGTGTTTTCCATAGCTACCAAGCAATCGTATGCAAGTGGATTAAAATAGACTACTTTGATTTACCATTTTTGTGTAACCCTTTTGTGTTCTAGGTGGCATTACTCCCGCCCAACATCACTTGTCCGGATAGGAGGCACATCTGTAAATATAACCAAACTTGTTGCCTTCACAAAACAGGTGTCTATGCGTGCTGTCCCTTTGCCAACGTGAGTTTGTGGCCAACGCCTTTGGTGATGGTTATTTTTATGCTTTTCTGGCTATCTTGGTTCTCTGTAAACATTAACCCGTGACCCTTCCATGAACACCGCGTACATGTGTGTTGTACAGCTGCCACAGTTTCGTTGGTCAATGATCTGGGGGAGCTAGATGTAAATAGCCACGCAGTGAACGATGTGATCAACTCAAAGGCTAGTGGATGGCTCATTGAAGGGGATATGAGGAGGGGAGCTATGCGTTGAAGACAACAGCCCGGATGTGTGCGCGCCAATGAGGGTGCTAAGCAACAGCCCGGATGTGTGCGCGCCAATGAGAGCGCGAACTGGGCCATGTCTGTCAACATTTCTAACTATTGATGTGTGCCATCTTGGGGTCTCCATCCAGTGCGAAGCCCACCTGGGTTTGCTTGCAATCGCTTTAATACTTCGTCACCAAGTTACTACTTGATCTCCCCGGGCTTGTTTCCATCCTCCCTGGGGTTGTGGGGAAAGGAATGTCGGAAAATGTCGATCGACTGGCATACCGAACACATAGCCAAGCGAATCCAACCTATGGAATGCGGTTAGTTCATTTTATGTGAGTGAGTTATTTCTTCCAAAAACCATTCGACCTACTTTGGCGTTACTGAGCCAATGTTCCCACCAGACTCGGGCGATGCTCCGAATACTGAAAGATTTTTACGTCCTCAGCGCTCAGCGGTTAGGTTTCCGACCCATACAACACCATATAAGACCTGTACACGAGCTGTAGCCTTTTCGCCCTGGAACATACAGACGACATTGTCCTCATTTTGTAGACGAAGAAAAGCAAACTTCATTAGGGAGACTGACAAGGGACGTCCAATCCTTCAGCGTGTTCATCGAACCCTCAATGTGTTGATCCATGTCGTGGGATGCTCAGATTTTGAATATGCTTCTAGTCACGCAAGAAGCGACAGGAGTTGTGTGTGTGTGTGTGGGGGGGGGGGAAAGCCATTTCCGAAGCGAAATCAGCTCTGGTCTCAGTAAGACGAATGAGGCCAACTCGTAACTTTGGGATGCCGGATTTTTTCTACCAATTTGGCACACTAGTGAGTATTATCATTGGCTTCAAACGGTGCTTAGGTCGGATCGCGGTGTGTGCTGCCTTGCTGTGCGGCTGTGCAGCTCGGTCACTGTGTTCGGGAGATCCGAGACATTTTCAGGTATTTCGTCACTAGCGTTGTCTCAGAACAATAAAACTGTGGTCGGCTGGAATCAACGGATTCACGATTACGTACCAAAGAGGGACTGCACCCGCAAGTTCCACTTATTTCAGTTTGACGGAATGTTCGGTTTTTTGGGTCACCGCAGCTGACTGATGACTACTGATAGTGAAGAACCGTAAAAAAGCGACGGGTTAATAATCAAGCGCAACAGACCACATACAGCATCACCCGATCGGTGAGTACCTCCAAGCCATTCGTACCTGACCCTGGTACGTGATATACACCAGAGCAGCCTTTCTCCGTTGTAGCTGAAAGTGCCAAGGCTGACGGAACGTAGAACCGGATTTAGCATGCACTTCATCGACAATCCTACCGTCCGATGTGATGCAACTACCCAAATAGACAAATCCATGCATTATTTCTAGTGGTTCTGATGCCGTGATCAGCTTTGGTGTTTGTTTTGCGGTTTGAAGTACTACCAAACCATTTGGATTGCTTAGTGTATTTTGCATCTAGATGGAATGTGAATGTACTGGTGTTTGCATGCTCCACGGGATGAAGCTCCAGGTGACTCCAGACATGACAAATGTTTCTTTGATAGTTTATTCAAAGTTGAAGAAGAAAAGTGACAGCCCTGATAGATGCCACTTTTGGGGACAAACTGAGGACAGTCATCTCCGTCGAATTTCACGCGCGAACGGGCGTTTTCGTAGAAGCATTGAAGAATAGTGACGAAATTCTTCGGCGCACCTTTGGTAGAGACACGTTATCACAAGGCAGGGTGATCGATTGAGTGTAACACCACTTCTAGATGTAATAAGACAACAATTGTTGACCTTCTATGTGTGTGCAGTGTGCATTTTCGCAGTCACTTCTGGCGTTTCTGTTTCATTCCCGTTTGCTGGTAGTGAATAGAGAGAAGCTTCGGAAAGGTTATGTGAACAATCTAAACCGGTTCAAACAGTTCGTTCATCAGGTCCATTCGAAATGTGCAGACACCTGTGCTTATCTTATTTTCAACTCTTCCGAGGCTTGTTTCTTCCAGTTTCTACTTTTCATCCAAACTTTAGCCTCGCGCTTCTGGTTGGTTGACCTTTTTTTTTTGATAAAATCTCAAGTGCTCTGGTAAAATAGCAGCGAAAAATGAAATACACAGGTGAAATGCAAAACATGGAGACACGGACGATTGGTGGTCTGTGCCCCCGAAGCTTCGGAAAGGTTATGTGAACAATCTAAACCGGTTCAAACAGTTCGTTCATCAGGTCCATTCGAAATGTGCAGACACATTTTCTGTGCTTATTTTCAACTCTTCCGAGGCTTGTTTCTTCCAGTTTCTACTTTTCATCCAAACTTTAGCCTCGCGCTTCTGGTTGGTTGACCTTTTTTTTTGATAAAATCTCAAGTGCTCTGGTAAAATAGCAGCGAAAAATGAAATACACAGGTGAAATGCAAAACATGGAGACACGGACGATTGGTGGTCTGTGCCCCCACGTCGCATCTAGTTGGATGCTGTGAAACACTCTGGAGGGCCTTTAAGTGATTTGGCCGGTTGACTCGTGTCACATGACCAAGGCAGACTCAGCGTCCGTAGGGAACGTTCTGGACAGCACAACCGGGTTTCGCAGACGTATAGCGACTGCCTCGGCTGTAGTCAAGCAACGGCGTTGGAGAGATACTGGCAGTTTATTGGGAACACTATAAATGACATGAAATGGCTCATTCGGAATCGATTGTATCCAAAAATGATCCTACTTCTGACTTACTTTGATGATGGTTTAATGTTGGATTATCTGTAGTAGGTTGAATCGACTTCGTCGTGCTGGCCACGATTCCACTCGCGTTACATTCATCTCGGACCATGCATTTCCCTGAGCAGCTGTATCGAACTTAAGCATAGCGCAGCTACACCTCTACGTCTTTGATTCTACCGATAATCTCTATCAATATAGGTGCAATGAATTCCACACAATATTCCGTGTTGTCTGCCAATCCACAAGTCCAGGTGTATGCAAAAAAAACACGGAAGAAATACACCAACCGGCTGAAATTGGAATTTTATTATCCTGTTTTCTTCTTACCGTTGCATTTATCAGGTTGGTATTTTACTCAATAATTCTGCAACCCTTGCATCCCACTATTATTGATCTCTCCCTCAGGCGACTTGCTGTAGAGATCGACTGCATTGTTGTCCTGCCAACACAACATGCGACTGGTTTGGTAATTGTGTTCGTAAGCTGAACCTCCAGTCGAAAAAGGACATTTCAGATGCGCATCGAATGCAGCCGACCACCGGACAATCTTCACTTCCACCAGCCCTAACCAACTTGAACTTCCAACTTGGCAAGCCTGCGAATGCCGAGTGGTGTGGCGATTTGTGTCCAAGCAGCGGGTTCTGTTGTGCTGACAGATCTGGACAGCCTCGTCGCAGATGTTGTCCCGCGACTGCAGTGAGTCCTTCGATTTGAATGTCCTTTGGAGCTTGCGCACAACGTTTGGTAGGGGACTTCCTCTGTCTAGCTTTAGGCCTTATTCCAGCCCTCGTGTTTCCTTCCGGTAAAATGGCCGATAAGCACCGGAATGGTGCTATAGCTGAACGACTGGACACCCAAGTTACTTGGTTGATAAGTAAAAGTGCCACTTTCTGCTGGTCATTTGGATACTTTCAACTGCTGTCGTGTGTTGCTGCCACGCATTGCAGTTCCGATATTCTACTGGGGTAAATGATTCTGCTTTAGCTATCTAGCAGCCTTCAGAATTGGATCTCCTGCAGTTGGTCAGTATTGCATTGCATTGTCGAAAAGCTCCACCAATTGTTTTGATGCATTCGCTGGGGCTTTGCTGATCGCGGATTCCCTCCTAAAGGAGATATATCGGTAATTGAAGAGATTAGACAAGTGAACCTTTATTCGGATCATAAGATTGGTGTGTCTATGAATTGGGAGTTAGCATACTTGTTCCGATGGGGCTAGATGTGACCTGGTGGGAATAGGTCGGAATCCGTGAGACGCTGATACAAGCACCGTCCGGGTCGGCGGCCTTTGTCGATGTAACATCGGTTCATGTGTAATATTTTGATTCGTTGTTGATGGGTGAAGGAGTTAATTCACCTCCTCAAAACTGAAGACCACATCAACGAAGCTTGATTGTTCAACCAATCACCTCGAAAGTGTTTTTCGAATTCATGTGCTTTGGTCGCAACACCTAACCTTTGTGACTATCCTGATTCAAGGATTGAGAAGATATCATGCCGGCCGTCTCAGTTTCCTTTCCCTCTACAAACACTTGAATAATCCTTTTGTTTGTCGGCTTTTTTCGTGTTCTTCGTGACCGTATGTATGAAAGCGGCCCCTAGTTAGTAGCCTGGATGATTAATACCCTGGGAGAAGGATCGACAAATCATGGTCAGTCAGTTCATAGTTTATTTAGGCTCGTTAGGCCGTATACTTTACCTGTCAAAGGGCCATCTTCCTGCCTTGGGGATCCACTTTTTCCAAGACAAGTGCAGAATGGAAACTGAGTACGATCAATCTGTGACATGACAACTCAAAATGAGGGCTGCCCTAAGCAAATTCACGCACTCTGTTTGATAAACATCGTGCTTTTGGATTCGGCAGTTTGTGTACTGCCGAGCGTAGAACAATCACACACGCATTTGCATCAAAGCTATCGTTTTCAATGCACAGCTGACTGCGTTCGAGCTTGCACAACTCAATTTCACCCCGAATTCAACGCTGTCTCTCGTTCTCCACATTTTTGGTGAAATGGTAGCTGCTACCGGCGTGTCCTTAACGTCCCTTGTGGCGCATCTAGATCATTGGTTCGTGTTTCCTTGGTGGAAAACTAACGGTCTTATTCGGTCGCCTGTACTCCGGTAACACGAACTCTTCTGTTGCATCAGGTCTGTCTATGGCCATTACGTTCGATTAACTCAGAACTTTTGGTACCATGATTTTTTTCTCGTCTGTTGGTTTTTTAAAAAAATAATTCTACGTCTGCCACTTTCAACAGGGTGTATGCTGCTCGGATGGAGAGCATTGCTGTCCTCGTGGAAGTCGTTGTACGGGGAATGGTAAATGTCTATCAGAAAGTCAAAATGTCCAAACCTCTTTCGCACCGTATCTGATACCGGCAATGAGTGTCAATGGTGTGTCTGCAGGTTTTCCGCAAGGGTTCGAATCACAACCTCCATACGCTCGTTCGATCGCATTGAAGACTACGGCCGCTAGAATCAATCCGATGTTCCTGTGAGTCACCATTTGTCTTTTCCTTTGCCATCGAACACCTCTTCAGTATATATGTTCAAAGCTTTATCATAATGGACTTGAGGCTAGAGTTATACAATTTTCCCCAACATCTAATGGAATAGCTCGAGATAGCTCTGTGGTTAAGGCGATATATATATATATATATATATATCGTTCAGCTGTAGCACCCCTCTGGTGCCTAGCTGCCATGCCACACTAAGGAGGCACGAGGGCTGCTTCACTGCCAGGTTGCCCATTCTTAGACAGCGAAGTCGAGAGGCAGAGGTCGAGTTCGAACCACGGACCTTCCGGTCACGGAATTCGTGCTCTAACCATCTCGCGCGAACTCACTGACCAGAAGGTTCGAACCCAACCGCAGCATTTGCACTGCTCCTGACTAGGTGTGGACATCCTGACAGTACCTCAGCGCTCGTGCTTCTCACCGGAAGGTTGTTATGGCTGATCGATTATTATTTCATCCGTGACTGTTTACGCTGTACCTAGAATTGTGCCTCCTTTTCGCTATAATTCTGTTGCGGAGCGATTCTGTCAGACTTAACCACACTGCTTTTGCACGCGTTTCTACTTCAGCTTGGACTTTTACTATCGGAGAAACGTTCGGAAATTCACCGTATGTCCAGACCTTGAACGCATCTGCGGTCTAAATCAACAGTGTTGTCCGTCCTTGGAACATCACTACACCTGTGCTCCGAAGGGGGTAAGTTGCGCTATTGATTTTCCTCTTAACACTGGCATGCTTTTGTAAACTTCTTAGTTGTCCGAAACACCAAGCAAAGAATGCAACGTTCCGAACCGGAGTCTGGTCGCTATTGTGTGACGCACATTCCTTACGGGCGGAAAGGTGCTCACACTTGCCTGGTTCTCTTTCGGTGAAAATAATACTCAGTATCTCTTTGTAACGTACTGCTCATAAGGTTGCTGAAAATCCGTCGACAGCCCACAACCGGTTTCAAGTCGAAACTCCCAAGAAATTGACTGACACGAAATCACTCTTTCGACTGACGGGTACGCTATTCTGTGTGATTGTAGTTCACTCTGACGGCTTTTCAGCTAACGGTTGCTCAAAAGGGTCTGTTTAGAATCGCACTTGGATTTTGTAAGATATAGGTAATGCTTACTTATCGGTTTTTCCAAAAGACCGGTCAGGCTTTGGATATCCGGCACCGCTTATAGAACGTACCATATAGTACGCTGTTTGCCATGGTCGGAGTGTGCGTTTTTAAGGGCCGCCCTTTGCTAACTCGTTCTCCTCAGGGAAAGATAGCATCACTGATCCCCTGAATATGGAAATGACTACCCTGGGGGGAACATCCTGCTGTTCTAACACTTCCTTCGCAGTAGACAGTGCGACCTCTCGGGAGCTCTTTGCAATCGGATTTCTTGCAGTTTGGAGACTCGCTGTTCTTCGTCCGACTGATCCCCATTAATTTTTTGATGTCGTTGATCCCTGAGGAGCTGAGGTATGGCCACTGCAGGGTCATTGAAACTTCGAAACTCAGCCACCACAAAAACATAACGGCTTTAGTACGCGTTAAAAAAATGATCGCCACGTTTAGACCTCTGGACGCTTGTGATATCTGTAGTTCCACGTTTCTTGGTTTCGTTGGAATCATTCACGTGGTAGTTTTCGAGAAAAAATGGCTCACCTACGGACACCAGTCGATCCTCAGGTTATAGAGATCATGTTTTGTACTTTATACAACTAGTTGATCGACTTTTCGTTCGATCCTTTGTTCAGAACTGACCAAACCAAAATTTGTCACTTACTGACTTGGCAATGAGTCGTGTGATTTATTTTAGGTGTATTCAATCAGTTTGGCGACTCCTTCTGAACTGTACTCACCAACAGACTAATGTCTTCCATGTTTCCCGATTTTTTCTCCTTATCTTATCACCCATATTTTAAGTGGATGAAATCGTGGCGCCAAGTCAGAAGTTAAAGTCGATAATTTGAAAACTAGACCAGATGCGGTTGAGCAATTGGCCAGCAGATTAACGGAGCCGACCAGACATCCAATGGCTGACCACAGAATATGAAAAGACCGTTTCGTAATCAAATTCTGCATGCTCGGCTTTCAGCACGCGTTTGTTGGCTTTTCTGCTAGAATAATCGAGCTCTTTAGAGAAGCGTCCACGAGACTTCCTGGAGTTTATCGTACTTTTCCAAGTGGATAGAACTTCAAGCTGTCGAACTTTTGACAGCGGTGATCCTGCTATTCAGAGAATACGGGAATTTTTTTTCGCCTACGGAATAATGTATGAACGGGTGAATGCTTTGAGCCATGTCTTGCTGCAACAGAATAGGCTACTTTCGAGAAATACACTCATTTGCAAATCAGTTTGGTTTTCACGAGAGACTCAACTGAATCTCTCGTTTATGATGTTCTAAAACTGATTATGCTGCACACAGGCCGCCTCATGATTCAGTTGCCACGATATTCGAGATATCGCAGTATATTTTTATGAGGAAAACTACTCACAAAGTTGTTGAAGGTTCAAGTAGAACATAAGGTTGACGGAAACTCGGGGACTGCGCCTACCTGATAAGCCCCAAGAAGTGCGAAACCGGTTGTGGGCTGTCGAAGAGTTTTCAACAACCTTATGAATAGTTTTCTTTAGGAATAGGATAAACCTATGACCTCAAAGCAATGAACTGGCTATTTAGCCTAAACGCACGATCTAGGTGTCCCATCTGACGGGTAACGTACAGTCTAATTCAACGACGGACGGTCAGTAAGAATTGCGGCGAAACCGAATTCTACGAAGTTCACCTGCATTTGTTCAGTAGTCGCAATTGGACAGTGAACAATATATTGAATCGGACGTGGGCGAACAGTTTTAGATAGGTAGACTGTGGTTCTATGATGAATTAACAGTAAATCGTGAGGAGACTTAACGAAAGCTTACGGCTGGATTGAACCTTGGGCAGTCACCAACACAGGATGGCACACGAAGGGCAGTGTGCTATCGGACAAATAAAACGGGAGCAATGTTATTCAGTTCAACAACAAGCCCAGAAATAAATGTGAACAAATCGACAATAGAAAAGCAGTTAACACAGAGTCGACTATGTGTAAAATAGAATAGTTCAATCTTGAGCAGCCACCGGATGGGTAATAAATTAGTCGGAGGAATAGGGAAACAAATAATTACGTCACGTAATGAACACCTATCTTTGATAGATGCGTTTCAGACAAGTGTACTCTACTATCGCGAGACGGAGTACGGAGCATGCCATCCAATCCAACCGACGTGAAGAAACTTCGTGTGTCCATTTTCTAGCTTGCTTACCGTCGTTTCGTTCTCTGTGTCTTTTACGTTACGGGCGAAAGTATTTCTCCGCGTTCCCCTACTTTCCAAGTTCCAAACGCTTATTCCGTAAACACATTCAAATATTTGTCAATAGTCAAGTAACGGTAGGGTTATCTCAACAGTGGTATGTAGGCCTGAGGCGAAGTGCCTTACTGATATATTTAGTAGTTTCAGTTCAACAACGCGGTCAGTACTGTCGTCATTCACGACCGTAACACCGTGTTTAACCTACTGCACTGCGTGATGCTGAAATCGACCGGAAATTGCTATCCATCGACTGCCTGACTTGTTTATGTACGATCGTTTCATATGGCACACAAAGTGCTGTTGGAACCACCTAGTTTTTTGTGCTTTCGCAGTCACCTAAACAGACCCAGTGTGTCGCGATAGTGCTGAACGAGATGCGTATCCGATATTGCACTCGGATTTTGCTAAATGGCTTCATCTCGAAATACGTATCGGAAAGTTGCGAATTGTCAATGGAATCACCAGTCTAAGAAGTTGATCTAAACGACGAAATGTAACAGATTGTGTTGTTTGGAAACAAGCATTTCAATTTCCAAATTCCTGGCTTCGTTCAGACGTATCAATTTACGCGCACTGTTAAGTGCGTGATCACATAGCGATATTGATTTCGTATTACTGAAACTATGTGCCGCTGTTCTCTATTTTTCCTTGCTTGGTTTGTTCATTTCATCTTGTCTTGGTTGTTAAAGTCCTGTCATCTATAATCACACGCTCAAAGAAAGCCACAGTGCTCTCTTTATACATGGCGACCGTAGGTGCGACCCGACCGAGGATAGTCGCTTCTGGGCGAGAGGATGCTACGTTTACCAGCAGTGTTTTTGTTTCAGATGGGTGTTCCCAGTATTGCTCGCAATATGACATTAACGACCACCAGCGGCGTCATGTCGGCTTCTGCATTGTAAGCAGCGAGATGGCTCAGTGGTTAGAGCACGAATTGGCTGATTGGAAGGGCTGTGGTTCGAGCCTTCCCGACTTCCCCTGTCTAGGCTTAGGTTAACCTGGCAGTATCCCAGCCATCGCGCTTCCTAGCATGGCTTCTAGGCACTGAAAGGGTGTTACAGCTAAACGATTCATCGCATTCCTTTTACTTTCAGATCATATGAGAAAATCCATTTTCATCCTAGTTGAATAGGTCCGTTCGCGTCTTTCTAATTAAGTTTTGCGTGTGTTCTCTTTGGCAGCTTGCCGTTCCCGTCACCATGCACTCGAAAGATCCAGAATTTTTGCTTTTGTTTTTACTATGTTGTGCACGTTCCCCCACCTGACGTGTTAGGAGCGCTAAAGAGTAACGGTTGGAACCAGCACATTCAAGTGCCTGTTGCGACATTTTTGTTGACCTTGACTGACATCACCTCAGCAAAGTTGGGTTGATCGACACGCGTGAATCTTACGGAATCAGCATATTTGATCATCCAGTAAAACCAGCCCGAAAGCAGACACGTCAAATACTTAGACAAAGTCCACAACCACACACACACGCAGTCCCTCTCTCTCTCTCTCTGTGCACAGAGCCAGCGTGACAGTTGTTTGACCGCATAATACTGCCTCCGGAATGCCGCAAGTTGATGGCAGTTGTCTTCGGATAAGGGTTGGCCAAAAAACTATCCATACGAATAGCGGAAGAACAGTTGAACCGTCGGGGGAATGCTGTAGCAACACGTTTCATCCCATCGGTCTGAATGTATCCATCTGGTCATGATGTGATGACTGGTGTAACGCTTCCAATGTTCTGTTCCACTACAATTAGCCGATCATGAATGCTGCCGCCTAGTACTTGGTGCTATGACTCCACTTGTGCATGTTACTTCCTAGTTCGGTGCTAATGGTGGTGTGATGAGATTCCTGGACTAAATGAGGGCTTCTGGTTAAGAAGCAAACTTACCAGCCTCTGCATCTCAGCTACTCCTGTCCAGGGTTGGGCAGACTAGCAGTATCACGGCCCGCGTTACTTCCTTCGGGTGGTACAGCAGTGAGGCATCGAAATGGCGTTACAGCTAGCTAGATCTGATCATCATTTGTTCCTCGCCACTGCAGCTTGTGTTGGGTGTCAAGTAACGCGGCTGACGTAACCACTGGTCGTCTTAATTATCGTCCTCAGTCCTTTTCTGGAATTCAAGGGAATAGAGATTAATAGACACCGCTCAAACGTGAACAGGTTCATCTGTTTAGGTGTGGTAATTCTAGGGTGGCCCAGCCTGCAATGGTTTTTTACCGGTCACACGCTCGAACGTCCGGATTCAACCCTTGGTTCAAAGCTTGGTGCATGCGCTGTTGGTAACCTCTAACAAGAGATAAACTCGAGTCCATTGCTTCCTGCCTTTGGTGTGGATTCGACAGAATAATTACCCTGGGACTGAAGGATTACTGCTGAATTCAGATTGGTCTGAATTCACTGTTTGGTTGATTAATCAATATATCGATCGCTCATTAACAATCTGCTGTTGGCTGCCATCAACCTTTACAAATGATAGTCGGACCATTCCCAAACACACATCTGTAAAGTACGTATGTCGTGCCCTTTCACTGTTCGGATCTAAGAATTCCATTCATTCATCATCATCATTGTCAGCTGTAATAACCGCGTACTCGTCGTACAGTGGTTATAGCTGCCGCAGTTTCGTTCACCGATGATTTGGGGTGGGTAGCTGCGCAGTGAACTCATTAAGTGCAACCTGTCGCATGCATTCGTATGCATTGACTATATTTCGTTTGCCCTACTAACCTACTACTAAGGGTTGGAAGTCTCAAGTGGTCAAGGTCGCTTGTTGTGATTTTTCGGAAGTTGTTTGGAACTCTGTCACCAGATCTTCGTTTAACAATATTTTAGCAACAGCACAAATAAACCATCTTGTTTCTTTTGCACGATTGCTACTTGATTTCCCCAAGCTTCCGAAACTATCACAGCGTCACCATCCATTGAGCGATCCAATCCATTAGTGTCATCCACATGCAGTCTACTTTCTTTTCAAAGTTTAGGTTTTACAATCCAAAGCCTTGAGGAGTTTTTCGGGCCGTTTAATCTTTTGCCACCTCCCGCAGGACACAGTCTGTAGCGGTAGCTTTGATGCGATTCCAGATTCTATTGGAAACCTTACTTTCATGTTTCGTCTGTCTAAATCTGGTTCGGCTTGTGGTTATTCATTTCGTCATCGGTAAGCGGCGGTACGAGTGTAGACAGCGGTGGTACACCTGTCATGGCTAGATTGTGAAACACGAACGGCCCCGACGGGGAAAGGTGTGCTTCAGCTTTTTTCTTATCATGATAGTTGCTTCATTTATCAACCTAACCGCGTGTCGCTCCCTTGGGATAAACTAGCCACCGTAAGTTCATTTAACCATGTAACAGCTCAAAACGGAGTGGGTGTATGGCGAACCACCACCTTGAATTTCATCGTCTTAAGTGCTTAAACGCCCGCCCAGTTGAAAGGAAGCCACGGTCGATTTGTTAGCCATCTGTTAGCACCACACAAGCGCTGCTGTTAATCTGGTGTCAGGCATTGAGACCCCGTTCATCTGAGTGACCGACCGCGGTGCTAGCGCACCGACGAAACACACGGTCTGTGTTTAGACGTTCGAATGGCTTTTGTGTGTCAACCTTCTCTCAAATGGTCTCCGCATTTTTCGGGAATTGTTTCGTGCAAAACTGTTTCATATATCTCTGCACATTTGCGGGTACTGTTTGCTAGGATTTTGAAAACAGTTTTATGCTTATGTAAATATGGCCCATGGAGTCAGTCGAGCTATTCTGTTTTGCTCCTTTCTCCGAGCTAGTTCAAGGAAGGAGTCATTTGTAATGCACATTCTACTCAGTGATATCGGTCGGTCCGTTCGCCCCTACACTCATCTTGGGCAGTGGTATTTAACTTGTTACTTATTTAGTTGATTGTATTAATTGACTCGCGTCCTCTCCATCCTACACAGGTCACCTGCTGTCCATACACCTCTGACACATACTGTCCCCCGGGTGGGGTATGCTCGCAAGATGGCTTATTGTGTGGCCCGCCTCCAGAATGAGGAAACGGCCAGTCAACTGATTCGTTGTTTGGGTATTTGCGTTCTATATTTTGCGCTTTGGCTAGACTTTCGATCGCTACCTTCGCTCTGGTGATTCGTTTCCACGAGAAACCGTTAGTCATTCGTACCGTTTTCTACTCCAATTTGTGTCTCTTGCTCTCTCTCTCTCTCTCACCATGTGTTTCATTGTCTACGGCTATCGAATAAAGAGAATTCTATCCACGCATGGCCTTTCTGCAATTTTGTGGGTTAGCTCTGAGTTTCTTGGGTACACATGCTGTTCGAACGGGTTGGTACTTTTTCTGTGTGGTAGATCACGGGTCCAGCACAGTTGTCCGTTCTGGAACAGTGGGTTTATCATGCGTCACAAGGTGAGACTCTCGAGTCACATGGAGCCAGGGGCTGTTCCACGCTAGCCACAACCAATTCGATAGTCTGCCGAGACGGGGTCGTCTGTAAGATGGTGACATCATTTTATCAATGGATTCCCTTAACTATATATCAGATCTAAGAAACTTTTCAATCTTTTCTCGAAGTTTGGAACATGCACACAACATCTCTTCAAGCCTATGCGCACTAGTGGTACTGGACTACAGAATATCACCGGAAAATTGAGATTTTCAATTGGTGAAATCAAGTAGCACACGCTTTTCAATGGAACTACGCCTCATCACAGGTCGCCTGTGTTCCGTGTGCTTTGATTTTGGGTTGGGGGCATTACCAGTCCACTGGGTATTTGGAATCGGGTATTTCTTTTCCAGTAGGGACCCGGAGGTAGCGTTCAGCTTTCTGTTCAGTTTCCGCGGTGGCTAAGGGATAACCCTGTAATTCTAACCCGTTTGATGAATAGTCACCACGTGGTATGCGGTCTACAGGTCACTGATCCTCTGTCTGACCGCTTGTTCTTAACTGGGTCCCCTTAGTGATACACACCATTTGCAAATTGTGTGAAAATGTCATGCTCGCGTGGTGATTATGCGTTTGGATTGCGCGATGAACCCTGCCCTTCAAGGGTGAATCTGCCATACCGAGTGATCCACAGTCTGTCCAGTCAAAGGAAGTCAAACAAACATATGTTCTATGAAAAAAGACTTGAATTCCCCCATCTTTTCAGCGAAATGATATAGCTGGCTTGAAATGCATCACAATGCTAAATCAGCATATTGTTCGAACTTATCACAAGCTAATGTGTCATAAACCCTGTCCGGTTTAACCTTGCCATGCGTCCGCAAGTAGGCCCGGTCAGATATGCGCTTTAATCAGATTCGTATTGTTGATGACAGTTTGGAGAAATAACAAGTAGGAGACCTTTAAAAGTTCCGTATTGAACTTGGCCCATTGGTGCGACATGTGGCAGATTCCATTCTACCTCGGTCATCATATGTTCTGTTGACTTTTCCGTTGGGCATTTGGTGAGTCCACGACACTAGACCTCATCATTGGTTCTTCAGAATCCGTCTTTGACTACCCGTCTGAATGGTCCATCTCTGCTGAATGATTGAGCAACCGAATGGCTTTTTTCTGAATGCTGAACAGATGGCCCAAGTGGTTAGAGCGCGAATTTACTGACCGGAAGGTCCATGGTTCGAATCCGACCTCTGCCTCTCGACTTCCCTTGTCTAGGCTTGGGCTACCTAACAGTATCCCAGCCCTCGTGCCTCCTATGAGTGGCATGGCAGTTAGGCGCTGAAAGGGTGCTACAGCTGAACAGAGGCCCGTAGCAACGCGTCGCACTTCTCTATGCCTGATGCGGTTTCACGCTCAGGTAGCGTGGACTAATAACCCAATGTTTTGACCACGAACAAAATAGGAGCGATCAGCGTGGTTTATGGTAGACTAAACAATAAGCAAGTCATGAAAATGAACTTCATGAAATTAGTCATGCGTTAAGTTGACACGTGATCCTGTTCACAAAGTAGTTGAAGTATGGGTTCGCTCCGAAAAGTATCTTGCTGGATTCCTAGGAAAAAATGGACAGTGAAGGATGAGCGACAAACACATGTACAATCTAGTTAATGTTCTGTATAATTACATGTGAGGTCAGGGTATTTTGAGGGACAGTGGGTTCCCAAATTTGGAAGGTGATATCATTGTTGATTGTTCATAATAGTCCTCTGGAAGGGAAAAGAAAGCAGCTGTTAGTATAAGTGAACTGTACGCATCACGGTAGACACAATAATACTGGGAACATTTTTTCAGAGTAACCTGCTGGATGGTATTCATATTGCTCTATTATCGATTTCGTAGGGTGGAAAATTAGAGCTTGTTTGAAAAATCAATGCAAACCAATCAAAGTAGAGCATGAGGTTGACGGAAACTCGGGGACTGCGCCTAAGTGATGAGCCCCAAGAAGGGCGAAACCGGTTGTGGGCTTTCGATGAATTTTCAGCAAAATTATGTGTAGTGCACTACGAATATCGATGCAGTATAGTTTTGCTGCTCTTCTTGACCGCTAATATTTGTTTACCTGTATCCTCCCCTTCGCCAAGAACTGAGTTAGCTAGCTATCGAACACGGAATGCAGATCGAACAAAACTAATCTCTCTGTCATCAGTCTAACATCTTTGATCATGGTTTTGCATCTGCGAAACCGATTGACACCCACGGAAGCAAGTACAGAATAGTGGAGTTGCTTGCAAACAGAGAATCACACGCCAGTGGTAGCAAGCCTTCGGTAATACGAAGTGTTATTTCTCCGCAGGTATTGGGATCTGACCAGGATAGTTCTGGAGACTCAGAACTCAGGCTACTCCGCCAGTCGGTTTGTAGTGTGAGTAGATTTGACGCCATTCACTGAAGCCAGTCGAGAGCTAAGAGCGAAGAAGCAATTGACGGCTGTTCCATCTTCATTGGAGAGCCATCAGCAGTGCATATCCCACGATCCTCTCAGGTAGCAGCTTGAACAGTTAGCTGTTCAGCCAAGACCGATCGATCGCCAGTCTGACTGGAGTTTAGAAGGCAGGATATAGTTTCATGCGTCCTCCCTTTCAGTGAATCCGTATAATGTGATCACGTGTTGACTGACTCCACGAGTGATGACTTCTCAAAAGGAAGTCAGACACATCCTCCTCTGAGCCACATTCAGACTGATGGCAGTGTAGGGGACTTTGGCATTTTCAATGTCAAACCAACCTGGATCAGGGGAACCGTTTTTTTTAAACGCAAGTCAATGACACTGCTGATCAGCGGCTTGGGACTGAACATTTAAGTGTTAAAACCACTAGTAATGATACCCAGCAAGGAGGTGGCACCTGTACAGTGCTTCTCAGCTTTTCACGTAGAGGTCTAAATACCCATTGAAAACATCACACACCAGGATTACAAAACAATGTTCTCATCATGGATGTTCAATTTCATCAACACGAATTATAACGCATACTATGTGACAAAGAATTCTTTGTTGAACGCTTAGAAAACCTGCCGTTTGTAGGTCAAACAGAAACGTGTGAAACAAAAAAGTACCAAAGTTTAGCACACTGTGATATTTCACCATAATCGACGCTTCCAAATCCGACTGATTTTATTTTCTGACCAACAGAGAGTCCGTGTGCAGCTGCATACTCTGTTTTGCACCTTCCGATAAGTTTATGGACCGTCACGTAATTGACCTATTGAGGCATTCGCCTACATTCAGCAGTGACTTTCGTTTTGATTGGTCACATTGATCAAGTCAGTCTCTTTGCACATTTTGACGGGGCGGTATGTCAATTTTAGTAAATCAGCCGAGGATCAACTGGGGCTCGAAACATCGTGCACAAGCATGAACTGACTCGGGGACTGCACCTACCTGGTGAGCCCCAAGAAGGGCGAAACTAGTCGTGGGCTGTCGATGAATTTTCAGCAATCTTATGACTAGTGCATTACAAATATATACATGTATCGTGATATCTCAGATGTCGTAGCGACTGAAACATGAGGTGGCCTGGTGCAAAACATTCAGTTGCTTGGAAACATCATAAACGAGAGATTCAGCTGGGTTCCAGGTGAGTCCCTCGGAAGACCGAAATTTGTTGGCAAATGAGTGTATTTCGCTAATTTCGTGAAATTCGTTTTCAAGTAGAACATAAGGTTGACGGAAACTAGGGGACTACGCCTACCCGATCAGCCCCAAGAAGGACGAAACCGGTCGTGGGCCGTCAACGAATTTCCAGCAGCCTTATGAGTAGTGCATTACAAATGTGGACTGACGTTCTTCCGACCGAGTTAGCTCAATTGAACACCTCCCAGTTTTCCCACAATTTCGTTTTTAATTTATCATCTAGCTCGTTGATCTTTTTGCTTTCTTCTGTATATTTCGTACTGTCTGGGATCTCCACGTGTTTGAATAGGCGTTTTCGGTAGTTAGCGGGAAGTAAGTGCACCAAACTGCTGTTAAATATTGGTTAGCTAAACAAGATATATTATTTAATGGCTGAAGGAAGTACATCAAAGTTGATCTCAGATTATCACTCCCAATCATGATACAACGTTCGAAGTCTTATTCGAAGTCCTTTCAGAACATGGGCTTTGTATGCAATCCAGACTTGTCTATTATCAAAGTGGCCGTTTTGGAATGCCATAGTGAAGTCTGTTCAAATGCTACTTTTGAGGAGGCCATCCTTCTGCACAAGACGGAAAAGATCGATCTGCTTGGATGGTCTTTGCTCTGTTCAGCATGCTCTCTGCATGTGACTACGTTTCATTTTTGACGTGAAGCCCAAGCAGGTGATACAAACGAGGCGAATGAACTCCAGCAAATTAGAAAATACAGGGCTTTTTGTAGGACAGAAACTTCTGGAAACTTTGAAGCAAATGATGTTTTCAATTTAAAAACACATTATTTCTGGGAGTGCTTTTGTCATGGCGTGTATCCCATTTGGTGGCAGTAAAGTTTCATTTCCATATGGGGTCAATCACTCGTTCCCCTTTCGATTTCCTTTTCGAACTGATACGGGTTTGAATTCTCACAAATTTGTGCCAACAAGAACCCCGATCTACGAGGTGGTTGAAAAAGTATTGATTATAGAGAAGGAGACGAGTTTTAATGCCAAGCTTGCTTATCAAATATCAAATACAACAATGCTTCAACAAGCAGCTTGGCAAACTTCTGGCTGTTTTTCTGGGCATAACTTGTTTGTTCACCTAGAGACAGAAACCTCAGTTTGTCTGTCAGAATTTGACCAGGTACTGAACTGAAGCGGAGGTTGAATGAGTTAGGGAAAACTCGACTGTGATCAACGCTGAGTTC